TATATATATATATATATATATATATATATATATATATATGTGTGTGTGTGTGTGTGTGTGTGTGTATGTGTGTGTGTAATATTAGTATTTAAACTAAAATTAGTTAAGAAATCAAAAGTGTAAATATTTTTAATAAAATTTTGGTAATTCGGTTATTTACTGAACTAAACGCAAAACAATATGAAATTTTGGCATACCCCGCAATTTTTATATAATTTTACCAAATAAAGGTCCCTGAATTTATCAACATAAGTGATTTTTTCGTAAGATAATACATAGTTGAGAAAGTGCTTGTTCTTATGCAAACATGAGTAGTTTTTTCGTAATTCAACCTTACCTCTGGGGCGGTCGTAATTTGCCCTTAATTTATAATATGCAACTGTAGACGCATAAAATTAATTAATTGGTTAATTAAATTAGCCAATTAAATTGTGTCTAAATTAAATTATAATTTATCTTGCAAAATAAGTCATGGAGATAATTATCAATTAATTATTGGCCAATAGGATTGTTTCTTCTCTTCCAAGTTATAAGAGATAAATATCAATTTAAAGAGAGCCAATCAAATCGCGCCACGTCATCAAGTAGACTTTAAGTAGGACTCTTATTCTACCACTATAAATAGGGACCCTCCCTACACAATTCAAGGCACAACTCAAGAAGAATAAAAACCGTAGGAGAAAATTCTCTCTACAATATTCAAGTCGTTCTTCATCAAATTCAAGGCGTTCTTCATCAAATCGAAGGAGTTCATCAAATCGAAGGAGTTCATCATCAAATCAAGGCGTTAAAGCGTTTAATTCGAGATTACGGTGCTAAACCCTCGAATTAACGTTATTAACATCAAATCAAGATCGAAGGAAGATTGAAGGGCCAAATCCATCAAGAACTCCAAGATCTTCAAGTCAAAATCCGTCAAAGTTCAGCGTTCGATCCGAGATTCAAGTCGCAAGACCCTCGGAAGACGTTATTCAAATCCAAATCAAATCCGGAGAAGATCAAATCAACGACTCGTCTCCGAAATTCAAAGTCAATCATATATTTTTCTTGGGAGAATAATCAGAGGATTAAATTAGAGTTTGTAACCCGCAATATTTTATTTTAATTCAATAAATTATCTTTGTGCAAGTATTTTCTTGTTTGTTAAATTCGCAGATAAGAATTTGTTGCTACAGCAACATCAACAAAGAGATAAAATTGAGAAGAGAAATGGTGAAGAAAACTTGATGGGAAATAATTGATAGTTGAAGATTTTGTTATCCGACCCGGAATAACGACTCGGGCTGACCCAATTGCTAAATAAACTCGAGCTAGTGTACGTCTTTTACGTCTTTTACGTTGTTAGATTGGAAAAGTTCATTTAATTTTATTTTGTAATAAAATATTTTTTTTTTCAATTATTCAGTGTGATTTTTATTTTTTCGCATTTTTTTGCGCTCGAAATTAAGTTGGATGTTGAAGAAATAAAATTTAATTTGTTATTTTGCACCGAGGAAAAAAAAAACCACTAAAAAATATGAATTATGTTGTGAATAATATGGTTGTGGGGTTTCCTAACATAACCATCCAACTCCCCACTAGATCACTAACCTACCCATGTCTTCCCATTATGTGTAAGTGGTAGAGTAACTTATTTTGTAACTCCTCTTGTAACTCCCGGTGGTTTTTCACCTATATAATGGAATTCTCCCTCCCCATATTGACACCCCTTATTAATCTCTCTACGGATTTTTGTCTTTGCATTCTCTCTCTATCTTTTATTCTGTTGTCATACTTTATATTCCACAATCATCAAACCGAAGGACAATACCATTAGGGCGATTTACAACACGTTATCAGCACGAATTGCTGGCGGTGATCATGGAAGAACAATTGTTCGTGGGGCTAGAATACTTGGAGAAATTGTGAGTGTGGTTCGTTTGTAAGACGGTGATCAACAATAATATTACTGTGGTTGACAATAATATTATTGTTGTTATAGTAATATTGCTATCAACCACATCAATATTATTATTTTGTTTGGATTTTTTGTTTGTTTGAGTTATTCACGGAGTAACGTAATAATATTATTGTCTATTATTGTAATATTACTGTGATTGACGGTAATATTAGTGTTGATATAGTAATATTACTGTCACTCACATTAATATTAATTCTTTTGGTTTTTTATTATGTTTACATTTGTTGAACGGTCAACATAATAATACTACTCTATTACACAATAATAATGAGTTTTGTTGTGTTAATATTACTGTGCTAGAGATTAATATAGCAATATTACTGTGTTAAACTGTAGTTTAGTTAATTTTACTGTGTTTAACAGTAATATAGTTAATATTACTGCCAATCACAGCAATATTGCTGTTTAAACGAAAAAAAAAGTTACAGAAAGAAAGAAAAGAAGAAAAAAAAAATGAAAAATTCAACGCCGGAAACCGGCGAAAAAATCCGGAAGAAATAAAAAAATTGAAAAGTCAACGCCGGAGACCGGCGGAAAATTAAAAAAAAAAGTTTTGGGTCAAAATTGAATAATTTGTGAAATTTGGGGTCAAATTGAGGTTAAATTAAGTTAATGATGAAATTGGAGCATATTATAGTATGAGGGGTTATTTTAGTCCTTTACAAAAATCTGGACCATGTATGGACTTATTGATAAATGAGTTTTTTGTCTGGATCTCTTTATGAATAAGTACCCATTGGTGGGCTTATTTGCAATGACCCATTTTAATTATTTAATCGTAGAGCTAAATCCTAGCAATTGTTATCAAGCCCACCCTACACAGTCGACTTTAGAGAAAATTAACTAAATTAAATTAAACTAATTAAGCAAATTAAAAAGGCAAAAACAAGGAAGCAATTTAAACACGAAGATTAATCAAAGTAGACAAGCCTAGGATTTTATTCTTTCCCCTATGTGATTATTACTCCCCCAATTCCTTCAATTATGCAAGCAATTAACCCGAATTATTAACCTGGGATGCTAAATTAATCATAAACTGCTTCCACGTGTATTACGATTCTAATACCCTAGATTCAATTACTGTATTCCTACGCAATTAATTCTAGAACATAGCATTAAACACAAATCTCAATAATGGCTACTTAAGAGATTAACTATATTCCTATGTTAATACCACATAGACTCTTCTATCACAGTTTTAATTATTAACCGATCTTCCGATTCATGGGATTAACAATAACATAAAAACACATAAAGTGACCAGTTTCATGAACTTAATAAGATAAGTAGAAGAAAAAATCCGGAATTAAAACTTGCATAAAATCATATAATTGGGTTCATAAATCCAACATAGGGTTCCAAATAAAATTCTAGAAATAAGAAAATTAGCTATTCATGATTAAAGTTAAAACGCAAATAAAATAAATCATAAACGATAAATCTTTGCTTGGAGTCTTCGAATTCTTCGTCTTCGTTGTCGCTTTGTTGCTCTTGAAAAAATAATAATAATATTACGTTAATTTACTGTCAACGGCTGAACAATTACATAAATGTATTGTCAACGGCAGTACAATTACGTTAATGTACTGTCAATGGCAGTACGTTAATGCACAATTATAGTCAACGTTTAGCGGCGGACGTAAAAAAAATAAAAAAAAAAAAGAAAAAAAAAACACTAAAAAAAGTCAACGCCGGAATCCGGCGGCGGAGAAAACAGACCAGAAAAAAAAAAAAAAATCGAAAATGTCAACGCCGGAAACCGGGGAAAAAATACGGAAGAAAAAAAAGAAAAAAAAATCGAAAAAGTCAACACTGGAATCCGGCGGCAAAAAAAGAAATTTTGAAAAAAAAAAGTCAAAATTGAATTTTTGTGGTCAAAATTAGATTTTTGTGGACAAAATTGATTAAATTGGAGTTACAATTAAGAATTGAGTATAAAGGTTGGGGGTAATATTGTCATATACATGAATGTTTCCCTTATTTATAATAAATATTAAAGGGATGAGCTTATTGGTGAAAGAGATATAGCTGCTAAACCTAGAATAATAAACATGTTTAGTTAGAACCTATGCACAAAAACCCATTTTAAAACATAAAAAGGGACTTGCTTTTTACGGTTTGAAAATTGTTATTTACGGTTCATAACAAAAAACACTTTATCTCTCTAAAACCGCAAAACTTCCAAAAAAAACCCAAACCCCCCCCCCCCCCCCCCCCCCAAAACTGGGCAAAAACGTGTAAAAGCCCAACTTGGGCGCCCATTCATGCAATGCACGCCCAAGTTGGGCGTGCAAGCTGCATTTGGGCGCTTGAGTTGAGTTTCAGGTGTAATTTTTTTTTTTTTTTTTTTTAATTGAACGCCCAAGATGAGCGCTCAGGCGTGTACGAATGCCCCTTGGGCGTTCCAACATGTTTTTGCGAAAAATAAAAAAAAAAGAGCCTACAAATCGATTTCTAGGGCTTTTTAACGTGAAATTGGTTCCGTAATCAATCTACCCAATGCATATTACACATAAAAGAGTCGAAATTTCCTCAAAAAATCGAAGCACAACCCTTCTCAAGCTTGATTTCGAATTTTCGATTTTTTTTTTTTTTGCTATTTGCAGTTTTGGGGGTTTTTGAATTTTTTTTGAAAAGTTTTGGGATTTTAGAGAAATAAAGTGTTTTTTGTTATGAACCGTAAATATCAATTTTCAAACCGTAAAAAGGATTTTATTTTAAAATTGGTTGTTGCAAGATGGGAGGATATTACTCCAATTCTTGTTAGACGTGACACGTGTTTCTTTGTTTAATAGCGCATCTGTTCCCAATCCTATCCCAATTCAGTTATAACTTATATTCATATGGAGTATATCAAATCAAAACACAACAAACCAATTTTTTTAGCACTAATTAATTTTATTTATTTATTTATTATAATATTAAGTTTATTAACATTCTTAGTATGGATACATGAAAAAAGATTCTTTGTAACCTAATTAATGACTACAAGGAGGAGGATTGGCCGCCAAGTGAAGAAAAAGGTGAACACATTAATTTTATTTGTTTTTAATTTGGCTGTATAAACAAAAAAAAAAAAAAAAAAAAAAAAGATGATTTCCTCAGGTTGCATGCTTTTTGTTCTATGTTTCGGTTTTGGTTTCGGTCTCGGGTTCGGTTTATATATCATCTCCAGACTACACTGATAAATGATGTTCTTGTCTTCTTGAACTAGGAAAGAATTACTGTACAAATATTGAAACAAATGCTGTTTGAATGCGCATTTAGACGTTTTTCGTCACGAGAATCGAAATATAAAAAATAAAATTCTTACCTGAATATTTGAATATTGAAACAAGTGTTGTTTGAATGCTGCCTGGAATTCTCACATTATCCACCAAAAAATATGTCACTAGAGGCCAAACTCACGGCCGACAAAAAAGGGAAACAAATATTCTCTAGTTTTAAGTTTCTCCGGTGAAGCTAATCCGCGAGGTTTCTACTAACATACAGATTAGCCTCGATAGTTATCGTACCACCACCGCTTTGCCTGGTATTCATTTCATTACAACTAATAATATTGTTCTCTTGAAAGTATTTTTGCAGCACCAAGAAGCATTGCAATATGTGCATCATTCCCACAAGCATGGAACGTCATTTCCTGTCGAAAAATGAAAATTTATATCTCAAAGCCGCCTTGAATTCTTAACATCACATCGTTAAAATCACCGAAAATTTTCATTTTTAAATGTGCTGATCTGATGATCATGCATGCAGGTTAACACGGAAAAATCACCCGTAATTTGCAGCTAGGAGAATCTCTACTACTGGAACTGGAAGCAATAGTACGCATTGTCAAACAAGTATTTCCACTGCATGCACACGGTACGTATACGTACTATTGATTCTTATATCATTTTCTTAATCCAGTCATTAAAACTATCATTTATATACTCTTTAGACGAAAAAAGAAAAAAAAAAAGTCAGATGCTATTTGACTTACACTGCAGTTAGTGGACATGATAATCTGATGATCTTCGGGTTCTTTCATCGAACAAGATACAGGCTTTGGAACACAGAACCTTTTCCAAAGAAACCTCACGAATACGAATATCATTGGTGCAATACCAAACGCAATCTCCGTTATCTTTTGTACCTCTCACATATGCAATGTAGTGGCCACCTTCCATTACTCCGCGATGCTCCACCACTCCCACTAGACGATATGTAAACCTCACTCTCTCACTGCACCTGCAAGATTGAAACCAATTTAGTCGATTTCCAAAACCCGAAGTCAGTTTGAAAATCCACATCAATTAACTCAATTTATAACTAAAAACGAGGGGGTCGGGATTTTAAATCCATCATCAAATCTCTATATCCAAACAACAACATGGGCCTAAAGGATTTACCTTTTTTCTTTTTTTATCTTCTAGTTGTTATCCCTCAATAATTCTTGTAATTTCCCTCCATAAATGTTACGATGGAAAAATGTTTTCTCTAAAACTGAAATATATTAGATTTAAAAAAAAAATGATAGTCCCACTATTTTTGTCATGCCTCACCAATCAAATCTATACTATATATAAAAGTGTGAATGCTAGATGGTTTCTTCCATTTTATGTATGGACAAAAATGCCCGTAAAATAATTAAAACTTCAAGCTCAATTAAGTCAAATAAATAATAATTAAATAGTTCATTAATGCATATTAAATACAATAATTAATAATATCTGATGCATTGAAAAATTGTAACCACAACAGCTTACATCGGTCGGTAATCTTTGGTTGAACCAACACTCGATTTGTGAAATTGCATTTTAGAGTCATAATCAAACTCGTAACTTGGGTCGGTTAATGGTCTTGTATTTTTGAATTGTGAACCTCGTTGGTTCACGTCGTGAGCCGTTGGTTCACGACAATGATCGTGTCTCCATCCAATTTTTCATTTATGTTTAGTTTTTCATTAATATTTATTTGTCATTTGTTTTAAAAATAAAAAAAATATAATAAACAATCAAGAGTAAATGAGACAACTGGAAATGAAAGTAATCATAAAATCGAAAAGGTTCTAATTAAAAAGAAAAAAAAACACTACACATGATATTCAAGACAATGATAAATAATTATTGGAATAACTTGAGAAGAAATAGATATTGTAAAATAAATACGATAAATAGATTCTGCATATTTGCACAAAATGTGTACAAACTAGAGAATATTTCGCAGAATCTAGATAATTATGTTGAATTTGACACCATAAGAGCGGACGTGTAAGAAGATTCATAGTTGAGGGGAGTGGTTGTAATTACCCAAATATAAGAGGTTTTTTTGTAATTTAACCATACTTTAGGGGTGTTGTAATTTACCCTAAGAATCACTTACGTTGCATATTGCATTTACTAGTTACAGGAAAAAGAACAAAAACACGTATTATTTAATCGGTTTAAAAAACTCTATAAGAGGTCAAAACCTAACCTGGTATCCATGTACGGTTCGAGATCAATCATCTCTCGGAAACTCACATCGTCATTCAATTTACTGAGAAGCCCCTAGCATCTTTGCTGAATCTCTTTAGATGAATTGTCAGTATAGGAGGAGCGATGTCGATGAGTAACCTTTTGGTTGCATCTGTTGTCACTTTCAAATTTTCGGAGTCAACCACCCTTTGTTCCCGCATAACTCTCGAACAATTCTCACAATGCCATCCGTTATCGTTCGAAAGAATCTCGGGCTCAACAAAAAGGGCCAAACACCCATCAACCAATAATACGACAAGCTGGTCCCTCTTCGCCGGAACAGTCAACGAAAGATCGAGATATGCTTCGTAACATGTTGAGGAGTGCTGACATTTCGTACAAGTAATGGTACTAGAAATTCTGCCGCCGAACAAGTCATTCACAAATGTGGGACCCGGGATCGGAGCCTGAGAAAATTTGGAGTGCTTTCTTGGCTGCATTTCTTCGTGTGACAGAAGATCGAGCAAGCATCTAAGCAACTCGTGGCTATCATCTTGTTGATTTTCTCTGAACTGTGGAGCCTTGATACATAAACACTCGAATAAAGACCTAGGTACAATAGGTTCTCTCAAGCCGGTACCAATATTGGTTTGAAGGAAGATCTTTCTCAAAGCACCACTTACGGGACCCACGTCTTTCTCTACTTTGCAAAAATAAACCCGCAAGCTATCTATAGCTAGCAGATTTTGAATAACCGAATTAAAGAAGCAGGTCTGTCCCAAACTATATAATCCTACTACTGCATATCCAACTCTTCCATGTGCAGAATCTACACCGATACTTGCCGAATTTACGATTGATCCTCCTTCACGACTAACTTCGGCAGTTTTCTGTTTCAGCCCTTTCACAACCTTGCTCGAGACTTGGGAACACGTTTCTCTATCTTTAGTAGCAAAAACACCATCATCTTGTTGGGAAACTATTTCTTCAGAAATAGAGCGACCCTGTTTCTCTTTCGGATCACTTTTTGATTTAAAGGTATGACGACTATTCAAAGGTGAGCGGCAACTCTGAGTTTGAAGAAGACCCGCCTAGAAGAAGGCAAAAAGATCGTGATAAATATCGGGTAAGAGCTGAAATTCCTTCTTTTAGTGGAAATTTTCTTGAAGTTAAGGATTTTATCGATTTGGTGTCAGAAGTCGAAAATTATTTTGAATTGATGGATATTTTGCCGAATAAGATGGTAAAATTGGTTAGGTGTGAGTTAAAGGGTTGTGCAGCCGCATGGTGGGATGAAATACAGAGGAAGAGAGCTAGACAAGAAAAATTTCCAATCCAATCATGGATGAGGATGAGAAAAATGTTGATGGATCGTTTTTTACCCTTAGGTTATGAGCAACGTCAATTTCAACTATATCGTAATTGTTCGCAAGGGAGTAGATCTGTTAACAAGTATACTGCTGAGTTTGAGAGACTAGCAAACTTAAATAACCTGCAAGAATCCGAAAGTATGGAAATTTCAAGGTACTTGCAAGGATTGAATATTTCAATCCGTCTTAAGATGGAATGGCGCGCATTCGACTCCCTTGAAGAGGCCCAAGAGTTAGCATGGGAGGAGGAATATTATCAGAAGCGAAATAGTTTCTCTAGAAAAATCGAAGATGTTCCACCCGTTGTCAAAGTTAAGGAAGCACAAGATACTTCGTTCGTTATTCAACCTCCAAATTTGGTGGAGGGTCATGACGTAGGTGTCGACGAAGTTGAAGAGGAAATTGTCGTAAAAGTTAAAAGTAGCGTAGCTATTATTAACGATGGCATTAACGAAGTCAAAGTGAACATCGACGAAGTTGAAGGGACAGTCAACGAGCTTGAAGCGAGCATCAACAAAGTTGAAGAGAGCGACAATAGGGTAGAAGACAATGTTAGCAAGCTTGAAGAAGAAGTCGACGAGTTTAAAGAGGGTGTTGAAAGTAAATTTGAGGAAGAGTTTGAAGTTGTAGAATTTGTTCAAGAAGAGGAAGGTGCACGAGAAGAGAAGGTACTAGTGGATTGCGTTGAGGTATGTGATCTAATTATAGATAGTGTTTGCTGTGAAGTTCTTGTATCGGAAAAATTGGTGGAGCCATTGGGATTTTTGATTAAGAAGCCAATTTTTCTAATGCCTCGGTTGGAGGAAGATTTTGTAAGCGAGAGTTTTGTGCCGGGAAGATTGGTGGAGCAATTGAAGTTGTTTGCAAAGAAGTATGCATTGTTATATTTTGATCATAGCTCGAGGTCGAGCTCTTTTGAAGAAGAGGAGATTGATAAGGAACGTCAAATTGGATTCGAGTTGCAAAATAACTATTTAATTCGGAGAAGAATTATTAATGGACATTGGTGGAAATATCGCAAGAAATTATGGAAAATAAGGGTTTTCGACGAACTCAATTTGTATTTGAGTACGAAACTAACTCTATCTCAAGCGAAACGGCGCAAGGAAACGAGCAATTTTGCGCAATGGGTACACATGCTTCAGTTACGAGAAATCTTGGATTCATTCTACCGTATTTCATGGAAAAATATGACAATGCCCTGTCCATTTATCACAAATTACAAAATATCAATAACTATTTCCATAACTAAAGTCGGGTGCTTCATACTTTCGAGGTAAATGTAAGAGGGAGAAAAAAATCCTTTGAAACAAAAAGAGAAGAAGAAAAATTTTGAAGCACAAAATCCAACTTCTGAAATTGCAACCAATCCAAAATCCAGCTCCTTGTTCGGATTATACAAAATATACTTGTAATATAAACACAAAATACATAGTATGTTGACAAATTAATAAGCTGTAGTTGAGGTTTTCACCTTCGTAACGTTTGGCTTCCTTCGCCAGCTCAGCGACATAAACGATGGCCTCGCGATCTGACGAGGAAATCATTGCCGATCGAGAATTGTGAAAACTTTCTCTCTGTTTTGACAGTGCGTTTTCTGGAGAGAGAGAGAGAGAGAGAGAGAGAGAGAGAGAGAGAGAGAGAGAGAGAGAGAGAGAGAGGAATGTAGTTGAAAATATTTCAAAAAAACTCGCGACGGATACTATAGTCTAAACAATTGAATTCGAGTTTGGTGCACGTCCTTGCCATTAAAATTGCAATCTGCATAAATTCAACAAGTTTTAATGATACGAACCCCGTAGAACTCGTTACGGGACCCTAATACCCTACGCGGAAGCAAGATCGAAAACATCCAAAAACAAAGATTCAAAGGGTGGAATCGCGACCCGTTGCCTATATGTTCGAAGAGTTCTTAAAGAACCAAAGAGAATATTCTCAATTAAATCATCAAAATTCGTCCTATAAAATAAGCCAAAGTGGCAACCTATTTATAAGGTCTAAAAAGACTCATTTTTTCACAAGGAAAATGACTCCTACCTAAACTATAATAAGGAAATAAATAAATAAGCAAATCCTAACCATAAAAGACTCTAAAATAATTAAAACATAATAAATACTAAATTAAAAACGTGCATAAATAAATTAGATAACTTGATCTTCAAGTCGACTTCTCGATCACCCTTCTTAACTCGCGACATTGGGCTGTGCACGTGCATGCAATTAAAGCTCAATTTCGACACTGTTCCACTTCGAATATCTCTTTGCTCAAAACATGAAAGTTGTAGATCTTTCAGTTAGCTTTCCGAATCATTTTGAATAAGCTTAAATGGACTTCATATGCGAGAGTTATAACTCGAATGGTAAACTCTGCCAGAATAGGCGAGAATCTCGGATGCATGGAATTCGACTCGTCCGACGAATTCTTCTCTTTCTTTTCTTCCAATTCCAAACCACGGACTCCTGATCAAAGGCCTGATTCAAGCCTTCATTCTTCAATCCCCACACGAACGGCTCCATTAATATCACTTGCTTTCTCTTCTTCCAATTATTTGTCTTGGAACTTGTGCGGATCGTATCATTTAAGTTAGTAACATTACTCACTTGGAGAAAATTAAACTTATGCAAGCATAATCAATCTATATATATATATATATGCATGAAAATATAACTGAAGAACTTGTTATGCATAAAAGCGTAACAAAGTACATGTAATTTAGAGTCCAATTTAAATACAGTATAAAACACCAGAAAACTAATCTCGGTTCTTCAAAAGAAAATCGCAATTCGAATCACATTTCATACTCAACATATCCTTAATTGTCATTAGCGATCCCGAACTTGTTAAAAATAAAATACCCGAACTTGTCGATCATCTAAGAACAATAAGGAAAAAGTCGTACTAGTTAAAACACGTCAAGCTACGTACGATTCCAACAAGTCATTATTGTATCTACTCATCGTCTCTTATTAATACAATAGTTTTACTTTTACCTCATTCAGAAGAGAATTATATGCATGATTAGAAACTCATTAACTACATTTTTTTTTAATTATATTTTACATGTTTCCTAGCCTCTTTTGGTTCCTGGATAAGGGGCAATGTAATCAATCATTACTTATCAGACTTTTGGTTTGTGGGACATTGCAAAATGACCAAAATGTCCTTATTTGACCTATCCAATTACCACCATAGCCTCACTTGTATCATTTATTTACAAAAGCTAATATTATTTTCCCTCCATAATCCCATTTCTACAGAAATACAACATCCAAATTTAAAAAATATATATATCTATATATATATATATATATACGAGAAGTATATAGAAATGGAAGACGACAACAACAAACACACATACTCGCCCCCTGTTGACACGAGTGTTGTAATCGCCGATGCTTTCACAAAATGTCGGCCAATAATGCAATTAACTAGTATGCAGAATTTTGAGTTTGAAAAAAAAAATAGCTCGAGCATTTGGCGGAATTTTAAAAGCAAAATAACCTTTGAAGCGAGAATTTGGAACGAAGAAGATGACGATTGTAAAAGAACGAAGAAGACGATTTATATTCGGAAGAATCGAAGGCTAGTGATTTTAATTAGTAAAGTTAAGAGTGTTGTTTTGGTCATTGATCATGGTGTGTTATCAAGCAATCCAGATAGTCAAACAAAAGCAAAAAATGTGGGGATTATCAGTATTATCATTATTATATAATCATCAACACTAGATTATTATATTATCTCGAATCATTTATTAATTGTTCCCCCAGATAGAACACATGCCCCCACAATAAATATTAAATTGAAAATGAATCCTAAAAAAAAAAAATTTAGAATCTAATCAGAATACCTGAAATTGTAGTTTTCAACCACAGAGTATTTATTGTTGAAGTAACCCACCCTGCAAGATACAAAGCATCAAGTTTCTGAACGAAGACGACGAGTTAATTTTATCTATTGACAGAAAATAATTTTTTTTTTTTTTTTTCAGGAAATGAAACTTTAAATTCAGAGAGAGAGAGAGAGAATGAAATAGAAGAAGAAGAAAGAGAATTGGAGAGATATTATTAGTAGCTTAATTCTCATTATAGTCTTTCTCCATTCCACATTACATTACATTATTTTTGATTTTATTTTTTTTTGCACGAACAAACGATATTCTATTAAAAAACTTAAAACCAAAGTACGATTACGAGAGTACGCTGAAAAAAGGTCCTGATACGTAATGATAATTTAGCTAATACATCCGCTACGCTGTTAAGTTTCTGATAGCAAAAAATCAGAGCCGGTCCTGAGAATTTGGGAGTCCTAAGCGGAGTTTAACATTATCGTTTTGGTTTTTTTAAATAATATCTAAATTATATTATTATTGGGACACATTTTTAACAAATATCTTATTTAATAAACAAATCTTTTTTTCTCTTTTATGGAAAATAACAATATGAATTTGAAATATATCAAATACGAACCTTAATATTGTTGGCATTGTAAAAACATTTGATGACATATGATATATGCATCTAATAAAATATTTAAAGACTAAAATGTGCTATATAACTAATTATTAAGGCCATATAGTGGTTTATGAAAAAAATTGTGGGGCCCCCTTGTGGGGTGGGGCCCTAAGCCAAGACTCCACTGGCTTACCTCCAAGGCCGGCTCTGCAAAAAGTTAACCACCACTTCTAAGAATTTAAACAGTTTAAATTCGAGGATGGTCCTTCAGAAGAGTTTGCAGTTTGTAGGCTGCTGGGCAAGAGAGAAGACACATTACATTATTGTTATTATGTTTTTATTTTTTGATTTTTATTTTTTTATCTTGAAATATTCGACACTACATTCATTATAAGCAAATTGATTTGTACGGATGCATTTCTAAAACCCCAAAAACCCTCACACAACTCTTGCTGACTCACACAAAAAAACCTTACAACACACATATACTAGGAGCAAAATTATTCGAAAATCCAACTAGT